AGACCTTCCACCAATCCTAACACCACACTTCTCCTCATAGAGCCCGGACTCTTGGATAATCTGTTCTGCATACAAGTTCAAAAGGTGTGGAGATAGGACACATCCCTGGTGTACACCCTTCCCCGTTTTGAACCATGCAGTGTTTCCTTGCTCTATGCTGACGACTGCCTCTTCGTCCAAGTATAGATTTCACATTAGCACAATCAAGTGTCCTGGGATTCCCATTCTTCTCAAAGTCAGCCACAGTTTGTTATGATCCACACAGTCAAAAGCCTTTGCATAATCAATGAAACACAGATAGACATTCTTCTGGTATTCCATGCTTTCAGCTAAGATCCATCTAACATCAGCTGCAATATCCCTAGTACCACGACCCCTTCTAAACCCAACCTGGACTTCTGGAAGTTCTCTGCTGATGTGCTGTTCCAGTCGTTTTTAGATAGTCCAGTAGAATCTTGCTTGCATGTGAAATCAATGATATTGTTCTATAGTTTCCACACTCTGTTGGGTCACCCTACTTTGGAATGGGAACAAATATAGATCTCTTCCAGTCAGTTGGCCAAGTTGTTGTTCTCCAGATTTCTTGGCACAATTTGGTGAGCACGTCCAGAGCAGCATCCGTTAGCTGAAGTATGTCAATTGGTATACCATCTATTCCTGGGGCCTTGTTTTTTGCTATTTCCTTCAAAGCAGCTTGAACTTCTCACTTCATCACCACAGGCTCTTGCTCATATGTGATTTCATTAAATTCTTCTGTGTCTGCCAATTCCTTTTGATACAGTGACTCAGTCTATTCTTTCCTTCTTCTTTTAATACTTCCTGGATCATTTGATATTCTGCCTAAAACATACTTGATTATAGAAACTCGACGTTTGAATTTGTTCTTCAGTTCCTTGAGCTTAAGAAGTGCTGAACTAGTTTGGCCCGTTTGATTTTCTGACTCCAGCTCCCTGCACATTTCATTGTAATATTTTGTTTTGTCATCCATGCTGCCTTTTGGAATATTCTGTTCAACTCTTTAGTATCTTGAATTCTTCCTTCTGCTTTGGCTTCTCTGTGTTCCAGTGCAATACTCAGAATTTCTTTTGACATCCATTTTGGTCTTTTTTTTTTTTTCTCTCTCTTCTGTCTTTGTAATGACCGTTTGCACTCTTTCTGGATGATACCTTTGACATCCTCCCACAACTCATTTGGTCTTCACTCATTAGTGTTCAAGCCCTCAAACCTGTTCCTGAGATGGTTCTGAAATTCAGGTGGGATAAACTCCAAGGCATATTTTGGTTCCTGTGGATTTGGTTTCGTTTTCCTCAGCTTCAGCTTGAACTGCTTATGAGTAGTTGGTAGTCTGTTCCACAATCAGCTCCTGGCCTAGTTTTCACAGCTGATATTGAGCTTCTCCAGCAGTTCTTTCTGCAGATGTAATCTATCTGATTCCTATACATACCATCTGGTGAAGTCCCTGCGTATAACCTGCGTTTTATGCTTCTTATAAAACGTATTCGCAATAGGTAAGTCATTGGTTGTGCAAAATTAAATCATTCTATCTACAGCCTCATTCCTGTCACCAAGCCCATGTTTTCCAACTACTGATTCTTCTTCTCTGTTCCCAACTTTTGCATTCCAGTCACCCATTATTATCAGTGCATCTTGATTATATGTTCAATGGGAAAGCTAATTGAAGTCATTTGAAGCAACAAAAGAAAAAGAAAGAGTACAGAGTCATTCTCGCAAAAAGAGTTGTCAATATTCAATGATTTCAGGAGGTAGCATATGAACAGGAACTGGTCTGTAAGGAAGACATTCTAGCTGCCCTGAGAAAAAGCATTAGTATCTTTTTTAAAAGTGGCAATTGTTGTAATTCCAGTTGAGATGTTTCAACAAATGAAAGCATTCATCTGTGCCAGGAAATTTGGAAGACAGGCAGCTACTTGGTCAAGTGACAGGAATATAGCCATATTTGGGTCCATCCCAAAGAAATATGATTCAACAAATGTAGATATTATTGAAATGTAGATATCATTAATATCACATTGAAGTAAAAATTTCCTAAAGATCATTGAAAAGCATTTGCAGTAATGCATTCACAGGGATGCATGCCACTTTAAAGACCAAGAAACACCTGACCCTAGTCTTAGTGTTTTCATTTGTTAAGCCAGCCCACCAGCATCTAACATCAACAACCTGTGAAAGTTTGAAATAAATAGAGAAAGCTGACGAACATATTTTTCTGGTGTTTGAGAAGGATGTTGAATACATCATGGATTGCTTAAAGACCAAAGGACTCTCTCTTGGAGGAAGTGAAGATCGTGTGTTCCTTAGAAGCAAGAAGGTGAAGTTTCATGTCACATAGTTTGTGTGTGTTATCAGGAAGGACTCATCCTTTGCAAAGTAGAAGATGAGTGAAAGAGAAGAATACTCTCAATGAGACGAGTTAATATGGTGAATACAGCAGTGGGTTTAAGCACAGCAGAGACTGTAGGAATGGCAGAATAGAAAAGGATTTACTGTTATTGTACAAATGGTCACTGGCTCAGCAGGACTTAACAACAAGAGAATTTGTCCTTCAATGTTATTTCAATTACACCTAAAAGGCATTATTTCTCCTTTTCCTTTAGACTTGTTATAGAATATAGACTTTTTTTTTAAATGGGCTCTGACATTTGGTTCAAATTAAATGTCTCTTAAATAGTTTGCTGATTGATAGCACATATAAAGAAAGATTTAGAATAACCATGTCATTTTCTCAGTTGTTCACTTTCCACTTCTCAGAAAACCTGCCATTCTCTGACGTTCTAATTTAATATTTATTGTAAATTCAGAGTTGAGGGATTGGCAATTTTACAGTTTTTAAAAATCAATTTCTCACTTGAAGACCAAGCCTTGCATGACCAGCATTTGTGTCTTGCTTTTCCAATAATTCTCACAATTAGGCTGTAAGACAGGTTCTTCCCTAAACTTGTTCAAGTGTTTTCTTCTGGGATATCACAGGCAGTTTGGAAGTCATCTCTTGGTCCTAGTGACTTTAGTTTTTAAATTATTCAAGTGACAACTACATTTCTTGTGGATTCTGAAACAATGATATAAACTAATCATTAGGTGTTCCATTCAGGACAGACAAAATAGATGAACATATTTTTAAGGAATCGAGCTGCTGTGATTGGTCAAAAAGGATGATTACACAGTGATAACTTGGAAACAATTCTATTTTATCTATCTCTTTGTAAGTTAAATAAGGGAGTTCTTTTGGAGGCGTTCCTTATATTTGGAATGGTAATCTTGGTTAGGTACACATGTGAGATTATGCACTTCAGAACAGGGTAATTCAACAGCACTACTCTTGCCACTGCTTTGATAATAGAAAATGAGCCTAAAATGTTTTAGCTCTGTGTTAACTTTCTGATCACAAGATGTTGACTGGTGTTTTATTTAAAAAAAATAATTTAGTAAAGTATAACATAGTATCTAAAAGAGTTTCTATACTTCCAATAAATATTTTTCCCCTAACCCACCCCCTGAGAAAACTGATTCTGTTATTATTAAGATCAGTAAAGAACTTACTGTCTTTGGGCTCAGAAATAGAGTAGAAATAATATTTTTTAGTTTACTTTTTTTAATGCCTCTCTTTAAAGTATAACCTTTTTTGGAGAAAGACATATAATGTGATTGTAGGAGCTTGGGTTTCCAACTTTAGGAGCAAGAGTCAAAAGGAATCCAGAATGTTTCTTAGCATGAGAACTAAACAGTCTTGTTGAAATTCAAACTAATTTGATAGCTGATTCTCTTTTGGACTTTTGAGGCTGTGAATAACATGAAAGGAGATTACACATTTGTCTTCCACAGAGGTGCTGGTGGATTTGAACCATCAAAGAGGCAACCAAGTGTTGCCTTTTGAATTAACCACCAACCAAGTGTTGATTTAGCTGGCAGTGCAGCTAGCTACAGATGTGTTAATAGTTGAAATATGAAAAATAAAAGATCTTGTAAGATTTGACTGTAAAATAATAAGGAAGTAAACTAACTGTAATAATTTTCTAAGGATAGTATTTGTCCATTATATAACTGACACCAGCATGCCAAAGGAAAATTTGAAATTGTTATTATCATCTGCCATAGAATGAGTTGCATTTATATTGTGTGTTCTGGTCATTCTGCTTACTGTGTTATAAATAGCACCTACATTCTTTCTGATTTTCTTTGTGTGTACATGTTATCTAATTCCTCCTTTGGCCAATGACGAAAGAGAGAAAAAAGTTTTCTATTATCTTGTACATAGGGTTGCTATGAGTCGCAAACAACTTGATGGCACATAACAACAGCAACAACAACCTAATAGAAGAAATTTAAAGTAATAATTTAATTAGAATATAGAATTAATTGTGCTAATTAAGAGATTCAGAATAATAATGGCTAAAAGAAGATAGAGAATTGTATTCTGGAGTTCCTGTGCTCATGCCACTCTCATCAGAGACCCTACATCCTTCTGTCTTATCACTCTCCCATCCTTAACACATGGTTTCTACTTCATGTTCCCTTGAGCTTTAGCATTTCAGCCATCCCATCAGCATCTCAGCCATTCCATCAGCACTTCAGCCAGCAGAATGACAAAAATGTAAAAAGAAAAGCTTATGAATGAAAGACCTGAACCCTGTGCCAACATCCTCATCTCTTCCATTCATCAATCTCTGACTCACTTGAGTCCATAGCAGAAATCATTGTGTCAATCCATCTAATCGAGGATCTTCCTCTCTTTCCCTGACTTTTCCAAACGCGTTGACCCTTTCCAAGGAATAGCCTTTCCTAACAATATGCCCAAAGTATGAGGGATGCAGCTCCACCGTCTTTTGCCTCCAAGGAGCATTGTGGCTGAACTTTCCCCAAGACATACCTTTTTGTTCTTTTAGCTGTCAATGGGATACTCAGTACTCTTCTCTGCACCAAACTCTCAGTCTTACTAAATAGCATCTTTGACTTTAATTTCTACTTCTTTCTTTCAGGGTGCTTTTCAGGAAATAATGACCATTTTTTGGCAATTCATCAGAAGAAGACCGGGAAGCCAGTATTCATTTACCATCATTCACAAGGGATTGAGAAAAGCCTGGATATAGCCCCTCACAGGATATATAAACACAACTACCATTCTTCTTCCCAAGCTCAATTAAGCAAGCAACACCAAATTGTCAATTCTGCAATTCCAAGACCTGCATATGACCCATCACTTAATCTGTTGGCTATGTCTGGTCAAGATCTTGAAGTGGAAAACCTTCCAGTTCCACCAGCAAATGTCATTGTAGTGGTAAGTACTGTGTTTAACTGGTACTAGTTCTGGTGCTTTCCTCTGTAACTTATGCTTGAAAAAACTATTGCCTGTGGTTGTCTTTGGATATCAATGATTCTTTTGCATAACATTTCCAATTCTCTGATTTTGTTTTTATTTGCTACTTGATAGTTGATTGTTTCCTTTTCAATGTCACCTTATTCTTTGAGAGTTCAGTGTGTGGTGCATGCTTTAAGAAGAGCTTACAGTTTTAGCAGATTGTATCTTGTGTTTCATCTCCTGCCTTTTGTGGAAATCTGTTCTAAGCAGATAGACTTTGGTCTCTACCTACATAAATAAATGTGAATTATTGAAGAGCGTCTGGTAACTTGATTCAAGCTGTGGAAAATGAAAAGACAATTGAAAGAGAGGATGGTGTAAGAGGAAGATTGGTTGTAAAATTTTGTCATTGAAATAAATAAGGTTATTTGGGAGCAATTAATAATGTTCATAGTATCACTAAGGAAGCAGCATGTTTAATTAATCAAGGGGGTGTAATCGTCTCATTGCTTATATTTTTAGAATATATAACCTTGCCCAGAAATTCCTACTATTTCAAAATATCATAATTTATATGCATACAGAAGTTTATATCTCAGGGTGAAAACTGCAAAAGGAACACTCACATTAAAACTACAAATCAGTTAACAGTTGTTAAAAAAATTTAATCCAACGCATTGATATATGAAGCTGAAATAATTTAATAAAAAATTTTTTATTCAGGCAACCTCTTTATGCACTAATGTAATGCTAAAAAATTTTATTTTGATTATTTTTAAATTTACCTTATAATGTATTTTATGTGGCTTTGAGAATGAAAGGTCCACTTACTGACGTTTTCAGCTAGCATGCATTCAGTATTTACTATAATCCAGTAATCATTTGGAATATCTGGAAATAAGACTAGTAAAACAGAATTTTTGCTTTTGCTTGGGAAATGTCTAGGGAGATATGCCAATTGTTACATAAAAGTCATAACCAACAAAGAGGTTTATCTTTTGCTTTTCAAAGAGAGGAGCAAACTAGGGGCTGGGGGAGGTGATAAAGAAAAAAGTGCAACAATGAATGAATGAAAATCCAAAATCTCTGTAAATGTTCATTAAAATTAATAAAATAAAATTTTTAAAAAGTCATAACCAGAGGACACAAAATAAGATCTTCTTAAGAATAAATATGTGGGTCATTTGGCCTCCAAAATGCTTGAGTAGTTTCTTTGTATTTATATGAAGAACAGATGTTCTGAGGGTGGAAGTAGTCTGTCAATTTGGTGAAGATAAATATTGTTAATGATGTTGCTAATATGGATATTCCTGTATAATGCTAGGACTCATGAGAAACTGTTTCTCTAGTAATCATCAAATATCCATAGTCATCAATTCTTAAAGCCACTGTGAATTACAGTTCAAAAGCTTTATTCAATCTTGTAATGCAATGTTAGGTATTGTTAATACTGTGAGGAATAAAATATATCCATGATGTATTCCTTTTGCATGTAATTTCACTTTTAGCTTATTTGTGGTTTGGAGGTTCATGCAGAAATTAGATTATTTCTTTCAGATAATGAGACAGTGGGCACTTCTGCTACATTAGTCTATGTAGCTCCTCTTGACTTACCCACTAACCATGTTGTGGCATTGGTAGCTTGCAACGTTGCTAGTGCTGATATTTCCTGTAATCCACTTATATTACTTATGCATTTAGTGGTTTAGTAAGAAAACCAGGGAGGTGAAGCTTTTTAAAATAAATCAATAACGTTCAGAGTGCTCAAAAGGCAAATTTATAACATGCAAGTAAATATCAGCTGGCATAAAGATCTATTAAGTCCAGAAAGGGGATTTGAGAGTGCAGCACAGAAGAAGAAAAGGAGATATTCTGAGGCAGTTCAATTAATTTGATGAGTGAGAAAATATGTTTGTATGCATAGAGTGTGCAGTGTAAAATTTATATATGCACAAGCCTATACGTGCACACAAGCATATACCATCACCTGCCACCAAAATGATTCTCACTCATGTTGTTTTTGTTGTGTAACATTAAGTTGGTCTTCCTTCTATCGGATGGTTGTCCTCTTCAACTGAGCATGCAGCTTCAGGACGGACACACATGGATCAGTGCGGGAGGAAGGGGACACCTGCCTAGCCAGCCAGATCAGCTGAATCAGCCCTGGCCATCAATGGGGTGACATGTCGCAGCCAGATCGCCCTCACAAACAATGTACCATTAGGTTGGAATCAACCCTTAGTTGACCCTTCAGTGGGTTTTCAGAGACAGTAAATCACATGGTAGGAAATGGTTCATCCTTCTCCCATGGAGAAGCTGGTGGATTTGAACCACATACCTTTAGGATTGCAGCACAGTTTCTCACAACTAGGCCACCAGAGCTCCCCAGTGACCTCATATGTATTAAAATAGAATTATTCTTAAAGGAGTTTTCAGTAATTTCTTTTTCAGATGTAGATTATCAGGTCTCTCTTCTAAGATACTACTTGGTGAACCTGAACATCCACACATTTAGTTAGTAGGGGAGGATGGATGGATAGATAGATATAGATAGATAGATAGATAGATAGATAGATAGATAGATAGATAGATAGATAGATAGATAGATCAAGCAAGCAAAAGGAGCATTTGCAGTGTGAAAGTGGCCACATCTGACTTCTACCTGCATTATAAAAGGGAACTGTCCCCATCAATAATATCCATAGCAGCAAGCAGCTGCTTAGTCGGACATGTCAACCTTCATGTTTCTGCAACTCTTTCCTTAGTCATTTGGGTTTCATATTTGTCGTTGACCAACAGATTTTACTTCTGGGGTTTATTAGGGAAATAAGTTGGAGAGTGTGAGAGGCAAAGAATATAACCCAGTGGAAGTCCAGGTTTAGTCCAGTCATCCCAAACCAGATTAAAAAGTCCAATTTCCCAATTACTGAAAGCCCAGCTTTAGTTCAATAGCACAAATGTAAGAAACAAGATTTCCCTTAGAACAATTACAAGTCAGCTTTTCTTTCAATCATCCAGCAATCAAAATCTTTAACCATGTTCTTTATCTCAAGGTTCCTCTGATTACACCTTACAGTGTCTCTTCACAGTATTCCCAGTCTTTTAACCCTCTCTTCACCACCTTCAATGGAGTAGCTCACAGTATAGAAAGTTTTATCTCTTATGTTTGTCCTACAGCTGTTGATGATTTGCAAGGACATGTGGCCACAGTTAAAGTAGCTGGAAATCTTGCCCTTTCCCCACTGAGGTCTAATGTAATGGATAGAAAAAATAAATCTTTAGGGTTTCTGACACCATAGATCAATGCATTGGTGGATGGATGGATGGATGGATGGATGGATGGATGGATGGATGGATATACACATACACAAAAATATACCTGTTTATTTGTTTATATGCATATACATATACATACCTATATAATACACACATATGTACATGTATGTATACATATATGAATGTATAAGTGTATAGCTGTGTATAATCTATAAGTATATGTTGTTGTTGATGATGTTGTTATTGTTGTTAAGTGCTGTCGAGTCATAGATGACTCATAGAGATCCTGGGAACGAAAGACTTGAACTTTTGTGTAACTTTCATCATTTCTCCATGTTCATAGAGTTTCCAGAGGCAAGCTATTTTGGAAGTGGATACCACTCCTGCTTCCAACCTTATTTTAAATGGGGAACTCTACCAAACACTGTCCACCTTGGGTAACCATTATTGAATTTGACACATCAGTGTCACAGTGTTTAGCATCACGGCAACCACGAGTTCCCTCTGTACAACAATGCACAGACCAGTGCTATACCACTTACAAGAATTTTTGACCAAAAACAATTAAAACCTGGTCTATGGGCCGCAGATTAAAATCACCCACCTTGGGCTTGGTAACATCACTTTCTGATGTATATAATATATATGTGTGTACACATGTATCTGCAATTACTGACTTTATGGATTGAATGTTGAAGTAGTACTAAGTCATTTTTATAAGCTTTAATATATGTCAAAATTAGCTGCACCAATGAGTTTCTTGAAGTGGGGAAATTATTGAAATTTTGTTCTCAGCCAGGTAAACAGCCATTACAAACTCCCAAATTCTGTATATAACTACTCTTCCTGATTTAGATTCCTGGTTTAGAAAGAGGGGTCAGTTTTTCCTCCTATATTTTTTTTTCCCCTGTTTCTCTTGGTTCTGACACATAAAGAGAAAAGACTTCAGAATAACAAGTGAAAACTACATGTGTCCTTCTGTCCTTTTTGATTCCCAGTTGCCTCACAAAGAATTTCATGAAAGTATTTATCAATAAATGAGATTCCCTCTGTTTTTTCAGGAAAATCTGTAGTTTGTTTGCTCCAAGGAAAGGAGAGCCCAATTAGAATGTTTACACCAAAGTATGCTAATTATGTTCCAGAAGCTCAATTAGGAAACTCTTATTAGAATTTCTGCACAAGTACAATGTAGAAGGAATATGAGTGGCCCCAAGGTCAGTGCTAGCACAGGAGGCAAAAGACCAAATGCCTCACCCAGTTTTGTGCTGGAAATTATATAGCTCTCCATCCATCAGTGGGTTCCCTTGAAGTGATTGGACTGCAAGGATGAGGGATTCCAAGGATTGAATGAAAGTTTTTGCACAGAAGCAGCCAAAGACCTTCTGAGTTCTGAAGTAGGTTGCCCCATGACGATTTTTTTCCCAGACAAGGAGTTGGATGATTTTATTTCAGGGTCTATAAAGGAGTATAAAGGTAGAGAGATTATACCCTGTTCTACAGGTTGTGCTTGGATAGAGGAATAAAGGAGAGGGGGAGAAAGGTGGAAAGGAGAATGAATTGAAGAGGAAATTAGAAGAAAGGAGGGAAAGAGAGAGAAATGGAAGGAATATAGTGGTAGTTCTTAGGACAATGAGACTATGAACACATAAGAAGATGGTGGAGGTTGAGATGGTCTCCTGAGACTTCTTGACTCTTAGAGCTTC